TCGGAGTGAATATCCTTGAAGCAACCGTAAAATGTTCCTGATTTCCACAGCTTCCGCCACGTCTTGTGGGCGGAGAGCTGAGCATTCCTTTCCTGGTGCGCTCCTTCTTTCAGGAAAGATGACAGGCGCTCTACTTTGACGAGGTTCTGAGTCTGTCAGTACTCAGTTTTTTTTTCCTTTTTAGTCATTCTTCCTTTATAGAGGCACCTGTACCTTCAATGGACCGGTAAACTTTTTCGTTTGTACATTAAGGACCTCATGCTGTAGGGAAACTGTTGGACCACCACAGGACGAGTAAGCGTCCCGCGATAGCAGGGGCTTGGCGGCCCTGGGCGGAGCCAATCCGAGATTTGACCCCTGGAAAGTGCCACTTGCTATATACATCATCTCCGCTGCTATAAGTAGTTACACCCGAAAATCTTAAATAAATGGGTTGTAATAACAGGACCGTACAAACAAAAACTTATAGGTGAACACGCTTTTTCACGACTGCGCCATGCACTGGACCCTTGTCCAGAACCGCAGACGCACTCGTTCCGTACTGAACCAAATGACTTTTTAGAACGAATGTACTGTGTGAGGGCCTTATCTCTTGCAGATGCAGACCTAGATTAGACAACCCAGATGGGGCCTTTTACTGGCATAGGACTCCTTGATTCTAGGGATTCTATTGGTGGTCCACTGCACGCTGCTTTTCAAAGACAGCCAATAATGAAAATCGAGTAAGATGCGCTTTGAATTCCAACTCACTTGGTGCCAAAATCCACTCTTGCCAACCGATTTCCTCAAAATCCACGTAAAGCGCCTTTTTCTGGCAAATACCGCTGTCGGTCCCGTTACGATGATGTTGCTTGCGTTGCTTCTTTCGTTCGCGACGCGGTGGTGTCGCGGCACGTTTTCGTCGCACTCGCGATGGCTCCTTGAGGGCGCTGCAAACAGAGAATTAGGGCATGTACGTGTAATCCTTCACGGAAGACAAATAAATATCACATCATTTCGTTCTTTGGCGGCTCAAAGTGTAAGCAAAACTGTTTTGAGGAAACGGTAACTACCAAAGGGCTTTATGCCCCAAGCTTATATGCTATTCTTAGTACTCAAAATTAGGGCAAAACCTTCGTTGTAGGACCAGCTATTACAAACAGGGGAGGAAAAACTAGCAAACATACCTGTAGACAATGAGGGGAAAACTTTGATGCCGAGTGAAAGGAACGGCAGACATGGAATGTGGTTCAGAAGTATAAATGACGACGTCCGGGTGTTCAATAAGGAAGACAACCTAAAATTCGATACGGTAGGGTACGGTAAATGGTTGTTTCTGCGTTCTCAGATTCTTCTCAATTACTGTAATCCTAGCTGTTTCTGACTTATGTAAGCGAGCGCTTTTCATTCTATTCCTGCACTTCAATTTTTTTTCCTGAATTCTTTTGCTTACAAGTTATGGTTGTAGAGCCGTCCGATGTATAACTAGTATGTTTATGCCGCTCCCAAATGCGAATCTGTTATCAAGTGCAAAAGACGCCGTTCTAGGGAAGGGAAGCGGGGAAACAAGGCTAGCTGGGTAAGGAGACAACCCGAAATTATTTATTTTTTTTTATAAACCATCGGTCCGGACAAGGGACTACGTTCAAGAGCATGTCCGGCACGTAGAGGTAGAAAGTGTTGGCGAAACATGGCCCCGCCCGTTTCGAATTCTTCTCCAAGTTTCTCTGGCTTCCATGAACGGCTTTCCGCCTTCCTTATTCCTAACCAAATTATGGGGCTTTTTTTTGAAAGCTACGTTGAGGCGGGGAGGGCAGAGGATATACAGTCGTCATCCTTGCACTTGATAGGGGCGTGTCGGCGAGAAGGAGCGTGCACACTGTTTGAAGCCTTCTCAGCCTTTTCGTTGAAACGCGTATATGCGACAAAAAGTGTTAGAAAACGAAAACGAGGTAACACGAAGGATATAATACAGTAATGTCACTTCCTGGTTCAACGATTGGTGCAGTACGGGTGCGGGCGACCGCGCCGCACGCAGCCGCACTGACATTGACTATCAAGTGCAAGGATGACGACTGTATACAACTCTAGTGAAGGGGTGGGGGGTAACCAGAGCAAGAAAACTGGATCAACTACCGAAACATTATTCACCGCGGCAAATCGACCCGTTCAGAGGCCGAGTCCGACCCCCCCCCCACTCGCTGGGGATCCTCAACTAGCCACTCAATGACCTCGTTGTTTCGCTTGCCAGCATACAGTATGGACTGGCTAAATGAACGCACATGAGTGGCCTCAAAGGCGCAAGACAGAGACGCAGAATATCACGACTCTCTTTCTCATGTGTTCAAGTCTATCCGTGACCATTTCAGCGCCTACCGTAACACTTACCGTATCGTGATCGCTACGTGGCGATTGAAACGCTGATGTGACATCGAAGTCAAACCACTGACTTTGTCGTGTTGCATTGAGAGCGACGATCGACTTTGTGTCAATTAACCTCCGTATCTGCAATCGATAATTGATTTTTCGGTTTTTGAAGATTCTCTCTACACGAAGTACCTCCGGATGCTTCTCATCAACTTCATAGATGTTTATTTGAGAAGAGTGCCGTTTAGTTGAATGCACTCGAATCTTCAGATCTGCTCGCGTCACTTCTTCGTGAGCGGCGTTTCGTACCGAAGCAGAGAGGTTGTACGAGACGAGCAGGCCGGAGTTCAGCTCCAGAAGCTCCTGAAATAGTTCTTCGTGAGTGGAAGTAACCAGTATGTGGGGGTGAGGGTATGTGGGTTCCTGCAGAAAAGGCAAACTCAGCTCTGGGACTGTTGGAAGCTATTTTGAACAAACCTTTGGATAGTAATGCCGTATCCAATCCATACTTTCATCCTC